CTCCCTCCGTTCGTCGTTCGGTCGTCGGTACGTCGTCGTGTACGTGTAGTGTGTGTGTGTGTGTGTGTGTGTGTGTGTGTGTGTGTGTGTGTGTGTGTGTGTGTGTGTGTGTGTGTGTGTGTGTGTGTGTGTGTGTGTGTGTGTGTGTGTGCATTCAATAGATTGTATAACAGTGTAATAATTATATAAAACAGGATCTATGATGACGTCTGTTAAAATTACGTAAAGATCAGAAATTAATGTGTTCATGCCAGATAATACTATTGTGAAGACAGTATTAATGTGTGTGTGTGTGTGTCTGTTTGTGTTTGTGTGTGTGTGAGCAGCAGCTGGGATGGGAAGCAGGGTCCGGTGAAGGACGTCTACAGTCTGGCCAACAACCCGCAGTACAAGCTGGAGGTTCAGTGCCCAGCAGGGGGCGCTGCTGTGTGGGTGCTGCTCACCAGACACATCACTGACAAGGTACACACACACACACACACACACACACACACACACACACACACACACACACACACACACACACACACACACACACACACACACACACACACACACACACCATGTATACATCACTTCAGGGGACATTACATTGACTTACATGCATTTCCTGGAGACTTATCCTAACCTTAACCCTAACCAACACATGCCTAACCCTAACCAATACTTCACCGTAAAATGAATGATTCCCCTCATGGGGACCTCCATTTTGTCCCCATAAGGGAAGCCAGTCCCCACATGTGACTGTGTAAACAGATGTAGGTCCCCACAAGGATACTAATGCTAGGACACACACACACTATTATTCAGATGCTTTACTTTAGTATAAAGTACTGATACAAGCTGTTTAAAAGTACAAGAACCTCGATACTGTACTTAAGGACTGTACTTTATTAACCGTACCTCATTATAGGTTAAAGGTTATCGTGACAGGATGTGATTATGTTCTCTGAGGGGAGGCTCACCTTGCCACACTTTGGGAACCCCTGGGTTATAGGATATCGTGATAGGATGTGATATTATAAGGATGTATTTGAATCTGATGGCTGTCTCCTGTTTGTTTGTGCAGGATGATTTTGCACAAAACAGAGAGTTCATCACTCTGGTTGTTTACAAAACCGAAGGGAAGAAGGTTTACTACCCAGGTGAGGTTTGATTGATGCCTTGTGCAAATGAAAATGTTTGGGCTGCACAATTAATGTATCAATACTGCAGTACTTACTAATAGCCTGCTACCCAGCATTGTAACCCCTGAAATGTTGAGGACCCCAACGTTTTTATATTAGAAATGTATAGTAGGGTCTCCAGCACATCGAAACCTCCGGATGCTAACCTGCATATGTTGGGACATTTGCACAATTAACACAAGTTGCATTAATAAGCATATGCAAACAATAGCTAAATAATGACATGGCCGATGTGGAAAATGCTGGTGTGGGTTTTGAGGTATATTGAGAATGCTGAATTAATTTCTGGCAGTTTTGAGTCCCCTTAAGCTTTAAAATCAGCCCAAAATTCATAAAACTCAGCTCACTGGGAATACTAATATGTCCATTTTCTGGTTAAAACTGTCATTTGTTATCCTATAAATGTCAGACATAGATTCAACATCCTCAATATACCTCAAAACCACATCAAAATTGTCCAAATCGTCCAAGCCATCTTTTAAATATTCTCTGAATATGCTAATTAACACAACTTATTGAATTGTTATGCTATGACATTTTTATTTTGTGTTAGTCTTTGCTTTTGTTAGCTTTGTACAGCCCTTTGAGGCGTTTCTTGTGATTTGGGGCTATACTCCATTTTGATTTGATTTGATTAATGAGCTGGAAACTTGACTGTTATTATATGTCATGAGAAAACTGATGCTAAAATGACCGTTTCCAGCGGACCCCCCTCCCTACATCGACGGTATCCGGATCAACAGTCCGCACTATCTGACCAAGATGAGGCTGACCAGCGCCGGCACACACACCTTCACGCTGGTGGTGTCCCAGTATGAGAAGCAGAACACCATCAACTACACACTGCGGGTCAGACACACTTTCATCAGCTTCTATCTCCAGATCTAGGAATAGAGCTTGACGTAACGTGTTTAATGTTCACATGGTTACGTGTGGAACCACTTTAATGTTCACATGGTTACGTGTGGAACCACTTTAATGTTCACATGGTTACGTGTGGAACCACTTTAATGTTCACATGGTTACGTGTGGAAACACTTTATACTGAGACTGAACTGCATCCATTGGATTAGTGTAGAAGGAAGAACCAATGAAAATGTGTTTATACAATTTAGAAAGATAGTCGTGTAATGTAGACACAACACAAACATTACTGTATCAAATAGTCAATATATCGTAGTTTTGAATTATCAAGAAGATTAGAATTTATTTAAGTGTTTTTGATTTAAATTTGTGTTTACATTTTTCAAAAAGGTTTAATTTCAATTTTCTTTATATTTAACTTTTTTTACATTCTGTTTTTCAGGAAGGTTTTTATTCTTATTCATTATTTAATATGTTTTATATGTCATTCTAGTTTGTACAGTAAGGGTCTTTTTTGTTTTTACATATATTTGATGCTGTCTCCTTTTGATATATATTATTATATCACTACATCATTTTTAACCTTGAAACATAATTTCAATCTTAATATATATAGTTTATGACAATGTTTACGCATTCTGATTTTCATTTTAGTTTGAGTATTTCTTCTCAATAATTAACACCTGCACTTTTCTCATGGTCTCTAACCAATGTGTGCATTCCTGCTCTCTCATCCTGAAACTACAGTGTATATGTAAAGAGACACACACACACACACACACACACACACACACACCACCACCACCACCACCACCACCACCACCACCACCACCACCACCACCACCCACCACC